GAGAAAGACTGTCCTTCAGAGGCAAGACAAAGGACCTCCATCGTATGAGGCTCCATCTAGGAAAGGTCCCCTTCCAGCATTGGTGGAACCCCAGGACCGAGACCACGAAGAGGCTGGACTGCAATGCCCATCAGACCCCACCCCACTGGCTACGCAGGGGCTGATGGGTTGTGTGGTCCTGCAACATCTGGAGGGCCCCAAACTGCCTGGCCCTTGGAGGCCCACAGTGGCAGAGCCAAATTCAGAGCGCAGCCTGGGCTCCCCGTGCCCAGACCCTCCCCATCCCCCACCCAAGGCAACAGAAAGAGTGAGGGGGTGGGTGGGTCGCCGGGATGGACCGAGGCAGGCTGGCAGGGGAAGCCAGAAGACAACCCCAGGGAGGTCAAGCTCCTGCTGCTGTTGGCATGAACAATTTGCACCCTTGTGAGACAACTGAGAAAGATTAGCTTCCTCAGGCTGGGAACCGGCTGTGCTGCGGAGGCCAGGACCCACGTCAGAGCGGACGCTGAGCAGGGAGGGAGTGGCCGAGCCACATTCCAGCTGTTCAGGTTCAGGGCCCGCCAGCCAGGCAGCCCGGCAGCCCGTGTCTCTCTGGGAGGGGACACCTCCTCCCTGCGTGTCCTCACCCTAATCCTGTCTGCAAGAACCCGCTGGTTGGCTTGCCCTGCCCATCTCGGCTTCAGGCTTCTTGTCAGCAACTGCCCTGAGCTTGAAGGCAGAAGCGACCCCTCCTAGGCGGAACAAGCAAACCACTGCTTCAGAGCAACCGAGAAGCCCAGCAAAGCCCTGCAGTGAGGAACCCAGCACGGGGTGGCCCTCTCCATGCGTGATATTTCGCCTCCATGCTCAGGAAGCAGCCGAGCCCCTCCTGGGGAAGTAGACCTATTCTTTGGCTCTCTGTGACGCTGGTGCACTTCCTAGCAAAAGGCAGCCAGGTTTCGTATCCTGATGTTCTCACCAAGCTCACCCTCCCCCCCAAAAGGTCCTCAGCCAAAGCCCCAACCTTACGCTGCACCTCGAGGCAGCTCAGCCAGAGTGGTGGAGGCAAGGGTGCAGGAAGCAGCCACTCTTCCAAGGGAAAGGCTCGGTCAGGACCCTCCCGGCCTGAGGAGTCTCCTTTGCTTGACCAAGAAGGAAGCCCCTCCCGGCCATCTGTGGGCCGTGATCAAAGGCCCTGCCTCTGCAGCACCGTTTTTCCCTGAGGCTTCTTGGTCTCTCCAAGAGAAAGGAGAACAGCCTACAAACCCGCAGAGTGCTGGGAGATTTAAAAATAAAAGGTGGGAAAATACAAAAGAAAAAGAGGGTGAGGTAGTGGGGGGGGGGTGACACAAGGAAGGACTGCTGAAGCGTTTTCCCAAACCCTGGGTGGCACGAGGCTCCTTCCTGGGTTTCTCACTCCCTCGTCCCACCCTTAACAGAATTGAGCAAGAGCTGAGCAATGGGGCAGCCCCCAGAGCATGTAACGATGGCCAGCCCCAGGAAGAGCTCATCCTGAGCCCTGGCAGAACCGCCAAGAACCTTGACCCAGGGCCCTTCGGCAGAAGCTTCCGCGGCTGGCCGTCTCTTTGGCAGAAACAAAGGGAAGACCGTTCTCCCCCTTGCAGACGGTTCCTCTTTTCTTCTGGATCATCATCAGCCAACCTTCTCATCAGCAGCCACGCCGGGTGGCCACGTTTTGGCGAGAACTCTGCTCCCTGAAAAGGGGCATCTTCCTCAGAGCAGAACAGGTCCTTTGACAAAGAGGTTCCTCCTTCCCACACGCCAGCCGACTAGCACTGCCAGGCAAACCAGCTACGGGTATGTGTGTCTGTGTGTGTGTGCCAAGGGGGATGGGGGAGTATCCTGGCTCACAAAGGGGCCACCACCATGCTGCAGGGGCTTCCTGGTGACCAGGCCCATTGCATGGGGCAGCCAGGGGCCCATCGCTCTCACCCACAAGCGGAACTCTTATCTCGCTCAAAGGCGGAAGTTGTGCAACCACAAAGCCCCTGTTGCATCACGGCCGGGTCGGAAAGATGTGTGCTGGTCGAGGGGAAGGGAGGGGGAACAACAGAGTGGCCCCCAGTTGATGGAAGAAGAGGCTCCTGGCCTGGCAAGGGGGGGGGGAGCCCCACCAGCTTTCCTATTCTTTGAGCTTGTGGAGTTGTGTGTCTCTTGTTCTTTCGAAGGACACCTTGATCTTTCTTTCTTTCTTTTATATGATTATTTTAACCGCTCATCTGGCTGCCAAGGCCACTCTGGGCAATTTACAAACAGGATAAACAATAACATAATAACGAGGGCAATCAACAACATCCAAATAAAATATAAAAGGTACTCTAGACAAATTATACTGAAAACCACATAATAAATGCATAATAAAATAAAATGAAAATGATGCTTACTTAAGGCCTAGCATTTCAGGGTTTTAGCCCCCTTCTCAAGGGGTGGGGTTGGCAGTGGACTCTAAAAAAGGGAAGGGAAGGTGCGCAGGGCAGTAGAAGGAGGCAGGCAGGTGGTCAGTGCTCAGCTGTACTTCAGTGCGTTGGCCACCTGTTCCGTTCACGTCCACCATGAGGTTTGGCCCGGAAGCACCAGGCAGGGCCAGGGGGGTTGTCATACTGAGCACCATCCTCTTTTGGCACCATCCAGGATCAGAAGTGGAGCTGGCTCTTTCCTCGATCAGGGCCCCTCCCCTGCTTTGCCAAAAGCACCCTTGAGCTCCAACTTGGGAGCCTTAGGGAGCCTGGGAACTTCATTTCCCTGAGAATTCCCAAGGCTTCCGACTCCTAAAAGGGAAGAGGGAAGCAGCAGGGGAGACTGGGAGTGCCTTGCCCGGCCAGTCCTTCAAGGTGCTGCCTGGCTGAACAACAGACAAAGTGCTGCGCAGCCCCTTTCTAGTTTAAAATGTAACCCAAGAGGATCTTCCCTCCACTGCTGCTCACACATGCGCGTGCACGCACACACACACACACACACACACACTTTGCCAACCTGCACCAGTGGAGTCCCCCCTTCCCCCCCTTCTCTTCTCCCCTGTCTGGCTTCAGGGACTCCAGCCGGCGCTTGACAAAGCGCTGCCCTTAAAAGGAAATGTGTGGAGTTGCGCGTCTGCACAATGTGAAGTGACATGGGAGTGACAGAGGGAGAGGGGGAGGAAGGTCGGCTCTGCGGGCGGCTCAGGTTTCAGAGCTGAACAGGCAGGCCAGGATCCCTTCAAGGCGAGAGGGCTGGCACCTGGGCAGATGTGCAGTTG